TCGTAGTACCCTCGTAGTAGTACCCAACCCCCCAGGATATCAAAGCGCGCACGCAGCGAAGGAAAGCAGCACCGCGCCCCTTCCCCCTACCTTCCTCCTCTCTGGCCGCCAATAAACCTTCGTTGCTTGTTCTCGTGAAAAACTGTTAACACCGCGATCGGCGCGCATTTTTACGTTTTCAGCAGCGTCGAGGAATCGCTGAAAATTTAGAATTAAAAAACAGGACAGAAGGTTGGACGATAGATGCGCATTGTCGAACGAGATACCGACCGACGGCGACGGTCGGCTGAAGGTTCCTTTCGTCGTGGAGCAAAACTAGCAAGTGGCGTGCAGGCCTCTTTTTCTGAAGGGGCATCACCATCAGGTAACTGTCGACTAACCGATCTATTTTAGGTGCAAGTTAAATGAATATTAGTATGGATGCCTCACCGGCGATGCAAACTGTGCCTAACATGACGGTTGGGATAACGTTCTGATACTGTTGCTTGAGATAGCAACCTGGACCTAGCTTGTGATAGCCAACTCCATACCTAGGACGAACAAAGACGTTTGGGATAACGCTGAAATATTGAACTCGGTAGCTTGGCATAGCAACGTGGACCTAGCTTGTGATAGCCGACACCATACCAAGGAAGAACAAAGACGTTTGGGATAACCGTGAAACATTACACTCGGTTGCTTGGGATAGCAACGTGGACCTGACTTGGGATAGTCAGCTCCACGCCAAGGACGAACGAAGACGTTTGGGATAACGTGGAAGCATTAGACTCGGTTGCCTGGGATAGCAACGTGGACCTGGCTTGGGATAGACAGCTCTACACCAAGGATGAACAAAGACATTTGAGATAACGTTGTAACATTGGACTATTTATTTGTCATTGTACAGTAACTTTATCATGGTGCCTCTGCGCCCAGATGGTTGAAGCGGGTTTTAGCAGAGAGTGTCACAATTGACAGCCCACGGTTCATGAAATGCGTCTACCTCTCCGCCTGCTAAATTGTAGTAGTCTCAGACTCACGGCGGGCTGGAGTGCGTTTTCTGAGATACGTCACAAATCTCTTATGCCAAACAATAGCTTTGCTCAAGCGGCATTTGAGGTGAACCGATTCTCCACACCTTAAACATTACTATGTTATTACGTTATTTGCTTATTACCACGTAATGGATGGTAATTTTTGAACCAGGTACGTCATATTACCTGTTGCTAAAAACCCTAACTTGAGTTGTTACAATGGAAATGTACATTTAGTTGACACATACATTGCGTACAATTTGTGTAGTTGTGTACAATCTATCGTTTACTACTACAGAGCGTTAGTAGTATGTTGTTGCAACTAGCTTTGAACATCTACGGTATGTATTCTAAATATTTACTTCGACGAGGACGGAACATACTCGAAATTACATGATCAAACGAACTTACCTGTAAGTGATGTTCGATCTTAATTATGCGAAGTCCTCGTCGAAGTAAATAGCTCCCTCCCTCCTTATGTATGCAACAACTTGGCTTTGAAGAAAATGAAGGTTGATAGGCGGCCAGAGGGGAGTAAGGTAGAGGGAAAGGGCGCGGTGCCGCTTTCCTTCGCTGCGTGCGCGCTTTGAAATCGTGGGGGTTGGCTACTACTACGGGGATACTACGATATGTATTCTAAATATTTACTTCGACGAGGACTTCACATAATTAAGATCGAACATCACTTACTGGTAAGTTCGTTTGATCATGTAATTATAACAGATGTGATAGCATATCTATGATATCCATGCCTCTAAAGAAAATCACTATAAGAGTAATTTGGTTCATTTAATATATACATATGTTATGAGATGAATCAACTTTCAGTCAAATAAACCAACTAAAGGTAAAATAAATGCAAGTATTTTCCATTTGGCGCTCGTACACGCCTACAACCCTCGCAAAAGGAATCAGGAATACACATCTAACTCACGAGTTTTTTTCAAGTCTGCCGAGCTATTAATGCGATACATAACGTCACCAAGTTTCGCAAACATAAGTATATTCGTTTACAGTGGCCACAAGGAAGTCCCAACGCTTTTTCTGTAAATATTCTTTTATTAACACACCCGTAGAACGCAAATTTTTTCGATTTTTATGGATTGACGAATTAAAGCTGCAGCTGGTTTATTATTGTTAGTTTTTGATTGTACCCTATGACATTTTACAATACGCGATTCATCGATATTTACTTTCGTACGTTTAAAAATGTCCTATATTTTTTTATGTAAATTTTCACCGTTTTCCACGGGTAGGCCAAACACTCTTACATTAAGGTTTCAAGATGCCTGTTCCTGGTCATCAACCTTCCGTAGAATTCTGTCCTGCGTGTCCCTAAGGTCCCTGATCTTTTCTTTTAGTTCAACGATGGTCTGTTCCTGTTCCCGTGGCCTTGTCTCATACTTCCTTTCAAGGAGCTGGGCAACTCTTTCGGCAATAGTCTGTAGAAACTGATCAGTGAATATGCCCTTAATTTTTTCAACATCGTTATCTGAGAGAACCATGTTTATTTCCTGCGAGGTTTCTAACCTCACAAAACACCACTGTCTAGGACAAAATATCGGTGAAAAGTGGAACAAATTTTAACGATTCGTGAACAGCATTCACACTTCAAAATTAACTAGAAATTTTTAGAAAAACTTAACTGCAGATTGCAAACATGTGTGTACTCACAAGGTGCCATCACACGCAATTAATAATTTCCAAATCGTCAGCATAAAGCAAGTACTCGCAACGCAAGTATGTTATAATATCATTAATGAAATTTAAAAATATTATTGGATATAACCTTGTAGCACCTTTGATGTAGCCAAAACCGCACCAGACTTATAACCATGGAAATCCGCACAAAAACGTCATCACGTATGGAAAAAGCTAAGAATCAATCCAAATGACTACAAGTAGATCTACCCTTATACAAGCCATATAGATTAGATTAGATCCATTACTTCAAAAAACATATTCTCATTAGTCGAGTTTGTACTATAGATGCAAATTTTGCTCCCGACTCATTAAAATCTGAGAAAGAGAAGTCGCCGAGAAATCAAAAATTCTGGTATACCTTCGTATTAGCTCTTCAACTTCAGGATTTCGTATTTGATTTTTAAATGAAAATGTTGATGACATATCCGTTTTTAGAATCTTCTGGTTCTTCGTCGTGCTCAGTGGTTTGTGTGGTGCTGGTTACATGACGGTGCTGTTCTGGGAACGATATACCAGCAATCCGACTAGAACAACCATTCTGACATCATATGCTCATGTCAATTCTATGCCGTTCCCCGCTGTGACAATTTGCAACATAAACAGAATACTGCTGATGAACATGGAGAGGCTCCTGCATACCATGTATGGAAATATTATGTATAATATGTAAATCATGACGTTTATTATTCAAAACTCATTATCAGAAATTTATGCATATTGCACAACTAATGTTAATCGGAATTGACCAATTTAATTATCAGTGAATGTATTTACCCTGGTCTCCACCTCGAGGGATTGCTACTATTTAATGATTTTAAGGTACAGACAATACGGTGAAAGGCACATTTGATGTCGATAGATTGCCAAGCTTTCCCAAGAAGCCATGCTCATTTCGGCTTATCAGAGTTTAGACCATCGCGCCGACTTACTTTGGCATGAAAACGTCAATGGCAGTCGTTGTTAGGAAAAAGCTAGGATATACATATGTATAGGGATAGAAAGTATGTGTACATAGTGGAAAAAAGCTCTATACAAAAGTTATCTACGTGTAGTCCAATATAAAATTTTTGGATCATATATGTACATCGCTCAGAAAAGCGCTATCAAATAAAGTTGTATATTTTTAATTAGTAAACCATGCAGATTTTTTTGGAAAAAGTAATTAACTTTTTTTTGTTTAAAAATTATGGTTTGTTATGCTTGTCATTACTTTGGTCGAATCTCGTATATCATTTATCCATATATCCGAGTTTAAACCAATTTGAATATAGCCGCCTGTGCAATCTAAGTAGGGATACCTATGATTGATGAGCCACAATAGACCAGTGAGTCGCAGTGGGGATCGTGATTGACCCACTCACGAAAAACCTAACCTACATATGATTGATAGACAAAATTCAAGCACTTGCCTAAAGTAATAATAAAGAATATAACCAACCAAAGAAGCTTCAATAGCCTTTACTAAAGATGTACAGTGTGTTAAAAAAGCATTCGATACCAAGAGAACTGAGACACCATGTACACAAAAAAGTCATTGCACGAAAAACTACGTATTACACGGTATGAACGGAGTTTTATGTACGGAGTTTTATTTCTCATCGGCCAAACAAAAAACTCAGAGGGGTCAATTTAAAGCGAGGTATAGCGAGACTACTTTTCACCATATAATTCCCCGCTTTGTACAAGGTCCAGAAAAGACCCTCTGCTAATGCAACTCACAAAGTTACAAGCAATGGCACAAGTATATAGCTTTTGCTCGTCTTACCACAGACGGACAACCATGGACAGCTGTTTTGTGCCATTTAGCAACTCTTCAGCATGGTGTAGGCTTGGTTCAGTAGAAACAAAAGCTGAGCAAAACTACTCCGTTCAGAGTATAAGATCTATCGCAGTGGTCGGTTCTGGCACTTTGTACTTTGTATATATAAATATAACTTTCTACTTACTAATTCTATAAAATGAAAAATTATTATATTAAGGACAAATAATCTGTTACAGGCCAGCAGACAGTAAAGATAGGGAGATTTTAAAGGAAAGTCTACCACAACTCCTATCTTTTAACTATAACAACCATCGATTTTTGAACATATCCCACTTGACTGACCTCAATTCCGTATTGGTAGCTAACCACATCACCAATATTTCCTATCTAGTGAAATCACTAGGGCAAAGTTGTGAGGAGATGTTAGTATATTGCAAATGGGATACAGACTACGTTAACTGTTCTGAATACTTCCAAGCTTCTTTGACTACAGATGGTTACTGCTGTTCATTCAACTACATGCGGAAGGAGGAGTTGTACACAACACTTAATGGTATTCTCACTGGATTGGTGGTGGTTCTTGATCCGATGCTTCAAAATACGCAGTATTCGTCACTGCATGCAGCTGGCTTCAAGGTATGTGTGTGATAAGAATATAGGACTGATGTAGCCGAAGATTTCAATGGTCTGCAACACTCCAGAACAGAGATTTCACATCTTGTACTTTGTCATAATACAATCACTACCAGATAATAAAGAGTACATATTCCATGGTTAAAGTAACATCTGAAACTGATTTTCATGCTGATAATCCGCCATGTGTATCTGTCCGCTAAGTGAAGCCACCTAGGTTTACAGTACTGTTTTTCAAATACAAATGTCATCAGAATTGTCATTAATCAATCAACAGCGTAATGGAGTCTTAGTGTAAAGAAAAATCAACTAATACTCAATAAGGACAAAGCAACATTTATAAATTGTTTTATTAATAAGCAATTACCATTACTTACTTGTAATGACAGTGGGATATATTTCCAATTCGGTGTAAAGCTACTTCTTTCGACTCTGACCTCAAGTTTACAGTCAGATAAATCATGTCGGCAAAAGACTGAACAAAATGTGTTTTGCTATTTTGCTCCTAAGCCAGGATGGTCTTTTAAGCCTATATTATTGTTTTTAGCCTTTTGTCATTCAATATGTTCACTTGAGGTGTCTACTGATATTAAAAGCGTATTTTTAGCTGAACTATAACGAGTCATGCAAGCAAAATTTTAATGGATCCGAAATTCTAACACTTTTATCAATTTACATTTACATTGAGTAACGTTTGTGAAAGGCGGCCCTGATGGTTTTACTCTCCTTCGGAGTAACCACAACTATAGACCACGCAGTTTTGCTAAGCATAAAGCTACATTATATGAAAGACCCGTGTTTTGCAAATACATCCACATATTCAACAATTTACCAAAACATCTGAGGGATATCACCAATTGTAATAAGTTTAAGTACCAGGTGAAGCAATTTCTATGCCAGAGCTGCTTTTATGCTGTTCAAGAGTTTGTATTTTATAAATTTTAAATTGTCATTGTCATGTGTAGGTCTGTTTTTTTTAACTGTAATTTTTAATATGCCTTATGTATCAATTATTTTTTACTTTCTTTGACTTGTCACTTGTATTAAGCTACGAAATGAGATATCAATACATACCTATCTATGATACAATGGTTGATCCATCATCCTGACAAACGAACTCGCCACTTACTCACTCCTCAACATTTCTCTTCAAAACCATCTCGCAATTTGCACATTAAACGGTTTGCAATCCTACACGTCTGTCTTGTCACGTCATCCAATTTTTTATTGACCAAAAGATTAAAGTTGGCCCACTACCATGTTTGTTCTTACACTTAAAATCGCGACATCGGCATTTGACTATATCATGGACACCCTCCAACATTCGCATTCGCCATAAAGTTTTGATAAAATTCAGAGGGCAACATACTCTTTTTGCAGACACGTTATAGCGGCTCTTTGCTGAACAGGATTTGCTCCCATTAAAGTCATTGTCACGCATGGTCCAAAAAGCATTATAACTTCAACAGCCTGACACATAAGCTTAACTGTAGGTATCCGCCAAATAAGCAGCTGCAAAAGGAACAGAGGCGCAGCGTGATGATCAACCCCCGCACGTTGTACCTTCCTATCACAAACTTTTTCTAAAGTAGAGAATATCCCATTGGTTGTATCGACAGATCGAAGATCTAGAGCAGTGGTCGCCAACCCGTCGATCGCGAGCTACCGGTAGCTCGTAAAGACAATTCTGGTGGCTCACAACATATTTTAAAAAGGTGTAAAAATCATAGAAGCTTCCGTAAATTTTGTAAATTCTCATAATAAACACAAGCAGCGGCAATACTGCGGTGAGCGATCTGTTCGAGAACGATCTCTTTTACTTTGAATGGAGTAAATACGCAAGGCGCGGCGACAGCGCGCTCAGTTTAAAACTGAACGACACAAAGTCCAGCGGTTGGGTTAGAATTGGTCTTCAATTAAAAACATTATGAGCAATAGTAAGAAGATGAAGGCATACCATTTCCATTCGGACTGAGAAGAACAATATTCTTTTACAGAAGTTAAAGGTAAAAATATATGTTTGCTATGTAATACATCTGTTTTAGTTACTAAAAAAGGGAATATCGAGAGGCACTATAAAACTGTACATTCTAATTTTGAAAAATCATTCCCATTACGTTCTGCAACCAGAACGGAAAAACTGAAACAATTGAAAGATCAGTTAATTGGACAACAGACAATGTTTTTAAAAACAAATGTTAAAAGTAAGGCTGCAACTGAAGTATCATACCGGGTGTTCCAGATAATTAAACAAAAGAAGAAACCTTATGAAGACGGGGAAATGATAAAACAGGCGTTTTTAGAAGCTGAGGATTCATTATTTGCTAACTTTAGAAATAAAGGCGAGATAGTGTCTGCTATAAAATCTATGCAACTTTCTGCTAATTCAGTGATGAGACGAGTAGAAGTAATGAGCAATGATATAGTTTTACAGTTAATAAATGACTTTGACAACGGTACTTATTTTTTACTGCAGCTGGATCAATCCACAGATGTCGATGATACCTCTCAGATGGCCGTGTTTGTCAGGATGGTTTTTGGTGATTTTACGATTAAAGATCTTTTGTAGTTTATTCCACTAAAAAGACAGACTACTGGACAGAACTTGTTTCCATCTTTTAAAAACATTATCTCTTCTGAGAAAATTCCAATATCAAAAATGATAGGCTTGACAACCGATGGCACTCCAGCTATGGTGGGTCGTGATAGGGGTATCGTGGGGTTATGTCGTGAAGATGAAAGTTTTCCGCAATTTCCCTTTTAGCTCTGCATTATCCATCAGTAAGCATTATGTGGACATTTTCTAAAACTAAACAACGTTATGAAATTGGTAGTAAAAATTGTGAACAAGATTAGAGCTCAAGTGTTACAAAGAAGATTATTCGAAACCTTGACCGATGAAATTGCGTTTCAAAATGATTTAGCTTTAAAATCATCAGCCTCAAATATAAAATGTATCTGGCCTTCAGTAAGTAAAGATAAATATTCAGTTTTATGTCGTGTTGCCTTGAGCTTTATTTAGTTCAACCTATTTGTGTGAATCTTCTTTTTCAAATATGAAGTATATTAAAAACAAATACCGTAAGCCTCAAATATAAAATGTATCTGGCCTTCAGTAAGTAAAGATAAATATTCAGTTTTATGTCGTGTTGCCTTGAGCTTTATTTAGTTCAACCTATTTGTGTGAATCTTCTTTTTCAAATATGAAGTATATTAAAAACAAATACCGTAATAGACTTCAGATGAACATTTGGATAATTGTATTAGAATGGCGGTATCAAATTATACTCCAAACATGTGTCAGGCTTCTCATTGAACACGCATTTTTGATTTGGACATGTTTTTGTTAAAAATAGTGCGTTGCTTTTTAATTTTTAGTTACCTTTATTAAATCGTATGTGACATGGCATTGTAGCTGACGAAAAATTTTGTTTATTTTTCAAACACCTACGATTGGTAGGAATGGATGTAGTTATGTAGCATGTAGTAGTATTAGTAAAATAAACACATGTGTGTCGCATACAAATGTGTATAATTTCATTTAAGTTGGCTTACATTGCTTATGACTAGGTAACTCACTGTTTTTTCCAAAATTATCAAAGTAGCTCAACACACTGAAAAGGTTAGCGACCACTGATCTAGAGATACCGATATCGTAATGCAATGCTTGTATCCATCTCTAGGTTATCATCCACGATCCAACTGAGTATCCAGGTTCTCAGTCCAGTTCGAAGATCATATCCCCTGGAAATGTAGCATATTTGCAAATAGTTGGTACAAAGATGGTAAGTAGTGAAGCTGTCAAACAATTGCCAATCAGCCAACGCGATTGCATATATGGAGATGAAGGTCCAAAGAAGGCTTTTCAAGCATTTGACGGCCCTTACAGTGATTCTAACTGTTTAACAGGATGTGAAGCAAAGGCCTTTTATGCTAGATGCGGATGTGTGCCTTACTATTATGCTTATTTTGGTAAGGTGACTAATAATATTATTGACACTTTTCGCAGTATGGCTTGAAATTAGTATGGCTTTTTTATCCTCTGTCCAAAATTCAACAAAAAGCCATCTAAAATGACAGCATTTCAGTCCTTCAAATATACAATTCTACCAAACAAATGATGAAATAACTAACCAAATGAAGATCAAAATCCTATCAATCTTCTACAAGGTGTTCCCTTAGAAAAAAGCATGTTTGTTGTACGGCGGAGCTATGCAACACCCTATATAAGTCTACGTAGTTTAAAAACACTTGCTAGTCAGAAACCAATCTTGCTGCGAAAATTGTTTTTTAACTATAATTTCCCTCCATTATAACATGAAGCTACTTTTCATTTTCGTTGGTACACCCTATATAGAACTGGCTATATTCCTTGATCTAAGCAGTATCTTACCCAGATAAATGTCCGATTAAAATCTTACTAAATTCATATCAAAGACAGTTAATACAGGAAAATATTGAGGAAAATATTAATACGGTTGTTCCAATTACAACATATTGTCATTATTAGGTTATATCAACAAAACAACATCTTATTGGATGAACGACCGTAATTGTTCAGTGCTACTTGTTTCAACAGTTTTCTACATTGATAATCTATGATACATTAATGACCAGTGTTAACCGAGTTTTCTTTTGGATAAAATACTGTTTGGAGCTCATTTACTCGTAATTTTTAAATATAACCTTTTTTTGCTTTTCAGGTGGAGCGATTTGTAACATAACAGAAATCCCATGCCTTCTTAATGTAAAAAGTGGTTAGTGTTGTACGTTTATAGTATTAATTAAAAAATCAGATTTTTTCTCGATCTTCCAGATAGAGCCCAAAACGCAAAGCAATCAATGTGCGATTGTATGCCACAGTGTGAGGATGATTTTTACGAAATCCTTTCCACTACATCTAAGCTTGAATACAACCAGAGTATGTGCGTATACTCATTGTAAGTTAAAGATAAAACCTAACAATTTCACAAAAGGATAAGATGATTTCAGTCGTTTTAATAGTACACTTGTTTTCAGTGATTCGCTTAACCTAAGGAATGATCACACAGTGGTGAATATATTTTTCCTGGGACAGACACAAACTATTTATTTGAGGGATACTATAACATCAACCGTTTATTTATTGTGTAGGTACCAAAGAAACAATATTTTACAGATATTCGGTAGAATATATTTCCAATGGCGTGCGGTTCTTGGCCATTTATATCTCTTAAATCCACGTTTATATTGTGTATTGAGTAAATATTTAGCCGATAAATCTTGTGGAGGTTCCACCAGAATACTAGTATCTTAGATAATGGTTCATCATCGCATTAAGTTACTAAATTTTAATTCTACAGTTTAACCCTTTAGTTTCTAGCAGCATGCAGTCATTACAGCGATACTTACTGGTTGCTTATGAGTTAAACCTTTTATCAGAAATTAAATTGTGACCAACCAGCTGGTAGGAACAGCACAACATCGGCTATCTTGCTGAATTCCATCCAGTAATGGACGTTTTAGCAGCTAGCGGATTTGATGCTGGCCATACTATCATATTTCGTGTTTATCTCTGTGTAATATAAGTATAGTGCAAAATTAATAAGAACGCTCACTTTGGTCAAAAAGAATCATACATATACTAAGTGTCATATAAATCCGAACACCCAGTTAGTAAATAAGTAAATGATAAAAATTTCAAAATGATTGCACTGCTTTAAAGCCCTTTGACCTTTAATAATGTGTGGATGCACCCTGATGTCCTACGCATTCTCCAACGCGCCTAGGCATGCTTCTGATCAGGTGGTCAATGTCCTCCTGTGGTATCTCATTCCAGGTAACCACCAACTCCTCTCGAAGTGCTTCTAGAGTCTGAGGAGGACGTTGCAAATTGAGCAATCTCCTACCCATCATATCCCACACGTGCTCAATTGGGGATAAGTCGGGAGATCTTGGTGGCCATGGTAACAATGTGACATCATTATGTTGAAAGAAGTCCATTGTGACTCTTTCAACATGTGGTCGGTCATTACCTTGTTGGAAAGTTGGATCTGCCGGGGTGTCAAGATAGGGTAAAATATGGGGTTCTAGAACTTCGTGGATATATCGCTGCGCGTTCATGTTACCTCTGATGAAGATTAAAGGTGACCTGGAACCATGAGCTATAGCACCCCAAACCATAACTCCAACAGTGTGATGAACATGTCTTTCAACAAAAAACTGTGGATTCTTCCTTTCACCACGTCGCCTTCTAACCCTGGCACGACCATCGTGCATGTCTAAACAAAATCGAGACTCGTCACTAAAGACAATACTGTTCCATTCCTGATCCCAGAGTGACCGTTGTCTGCACCACTCAAGGCGATTACGTCGGTGTTCTCGAGTTAAAGGGAGGACCCAGTGTGGCCGGTATGAAAACAAGCCAAAACTTCTCATTCGTCGGTAAACAATTCGCATGCCAATAGGTCTTCCGTGTTCTGCAAACCATTCATTTGCAATGGACCTGGTAGTGGAGAAACGGTCCCTTAAGGCCAATAACCTTAGGCGGCGATCTTCACGGTCTGTTGTTCTACGGCGGCGTCCAGTGCCCCTTGCTCTTTGCGTACGACCTTCTCGAAGCCATGCCTGACAACACCTAACCACAGTGTCTACACTTCTCTGCACTCTAACTGCAATTGCCCGAAAGGATAGTCCAGCTTCCCGAAGTCCCACTATACGGCCCCTATCAAACTCACTAAGTTGACGAAATTGTACAGGTCTCCGTACTCTAGGTATCGTAACCGATCGTAAAGGATGTCAAGAACCAAAATCCGCCAACGTTGATTCTTTACTGCGGCTGAAATATTCATTTTTAGAGCGTTAGTGAATTAAAAAAAGCAGTATAAAAACCGGAATGTCCAACTGATAAGATAAATACATTCACCAACTTTTATTAAAATAAAACCATTTAAACTGGGTGTTCGGATTTATATGTCACTTAGTATATACTGTGTGTTATAACTAGTATTACACAGCTGAGGCAGCACCCAGAGTGTAAATGGTAGAACCGGCTTAGTATTGCCTGGTGAGAACACCTTAATCGATGATTTCCTAAATCGAAATAAAAGAGGTCAAGTTTCAGAACAAATCTCTTCATTAGACAGGCATCATCAAGCCAGCGTTGCTATTTAAACTGCATGCCAATGACCTGCTGTGCATTAACTGGAGGTAAGATACTGTATGACAAAATAAATGTGCCTGCAAAGATTTAACCAAGTGTCAGAGATAAATGTCTCAGCTCAGCTTTACTTTGAATTCAAATTTCTTTTACTTATTTTAGCTTCATTTGGGGGAGTATACAGTCTCTTCATAGGATGCAGTTTGATAACAATTATCGAGATCTTATACTATTGCTTCTTCAGATTCGTGGTTAACCTCAAAATATTTGGAAAAGTAACAACTGACTACGAAGTATCTCAAAAACAACACCACAAGAGGACAAGGAACCTTACCATAGGAATGACCAACCCAGACCACAAACACGATTTCTACTATGAAAATATTTATTTACCTTAACTAAGATTCTATAACATTCATAATTACTTTATTATGTAACGTATTTGTTAAACTCATTATAGTTGGAAACATATGTGTATTACAAAAATTTATGAAACCTCACTTAGGTCTGAATTGCTAAAACTCCAAGAACAAACCCTTTGGTGATAAATATATAACAGTAGTTCAACAAAATTATGCGTCCTTGGATTTTGATTGTCTGGGAATTTGTGGCAGTAATAATTGTTGAATATGCTGTCCTGGTAGCTCAAACACCAAGGTTGTCAATAAGCCGAGAACAAAACTTAGCCCAACAACGACACCTAAGTCCTGCACCTGTAAATAACAATGATTTTTTAAATACTCCAGACTGGGGCAAAAACAATTTCACGTAGATCAACCAAATTTGAACCAAAGTACTAACTGAATTCTCTTTTAAGAATCAGCCGATTTTTATAATTGTTGACAGCAATGCACTCCATGGAATAATAAACATAATACTCACAATATTTACTGTGCTCATATCCATGGAACAATATTCCAGATACCAAAGTAATACAAACATATGGTATATGTAGGTACAATAAGAAACGTTCCCCATCACTTCCAAAAATCTTGATTCAAGCATTCTCTTAAGTACACCTAAAATATTCCGTATAATATGATATCTGTTAAGGCGGGAACACTGGAACTCACAATGTATCACCAAACTCACGAGCTATAACACAAACTTACGTAAGGAGGTGTATGTTATCATAAATGTTGTCGGCTTGGGCACCTATGTTTCTGTTCATCCAACAATTTACATTTTGATATGCGTGTTTGCATGACGGCTCGTGAGTTCACGTGATGTGAAAAAAAAGTTTCCTTACGCCTTCACTATTTTTACCAAAGAAAAGAAGAAAATAGCTTACAAATGATAGTAGACAGACCATTGCACAGAACGGTTACATCATTACCGAGGCTTAAGTTAGAAGATGCTTAAGATGCCACAAGGAAATAAATACATTGTAAAATATTTTGTTATTGGACCTTTAGGTGTAATAAGTAAAAGGTAAGAAAAATTGTCTTACCTCCTAGATTGACCATGCCCAAAATTCCAACTCCAATACCAAGTGCGAACAAAGGTTTCAACACAGGCTCTATAATCGCTGTCATAATTCTACTGTATTCAATTGTTGACAAATAGACAGCAATCAATGGCAAAAAAATGAATGCGGGAAGCCAAAATAATTTTATTAGCTAAAATTCAAATAGCATTATGGAGCAAAATAATTGTACCATATTGTAGATGACAAAATAAAGTTGTAATTTGTTTGAAGTTTACACCTTGAATAAAGTCACAGAAAATAAAATAGGATTTGAATCAAAAATACTTGCCTTAAGGTCTTCAGTTCGATTCAGAGTTTTGCTCTTGATGTAAGCTTTTCCAAGTAATATCCCAATGTAGCTAGTAAGGATATTCGACAATGTAGATTGGTAATGTACAAGCATGGGAAATGATTCAAGAAATGGCACTTGTTCGAAATTTCTGGAATGCACGTTCATAATAAAATGATATGTAATACCTCAGGTCAATAATCTATTTCGCAAGGTTGATGTGAATCCATACTAAATACATACTGAGCCGACATTTAGCATTGTCTTAGACATGCTACTGCGATCTTCGGAATTAATAAAGTTGCACTGGAATATTCGTCCACTTAGTTATAGGATTTTAAAAATTTTCGTTAGAAAGGAAGTTGTTGTCCAACTATCATTTATCTTTTCTTCCAAGTCTGACCCGCGATCAAAAGGATCTGATGTGAAAATACTCGTAGTTGCCAGGCGTGTAAACTTAGTCAATTACAATGGTACCTTATTTGAGGCCGATTGAGAACTTCCACATCAAAGTAATAGATGACACATCCATAGATGATATAGGCCGTCAGATATAAAGTAACCCATAGATACTTGTGATCCAATTTATATTTCAGAGCACAATAAAATATTAAAGCTACTAAAACAAATAATTGAAAGTCTGCGGAAAGGTACCAAGTTACAGGATGGCACTGAAACAAATACAGAATCACTTAAATTGATGTTCACATACCAGCATCTAAAAATAATGCACGAAAATATCAGGCCAGGAAACGAAGATGATCTACAAGTTAGGAAATTTTAAAACTGGAGATTTGTCGCGATAAATAACACAAAAACTATTTTGAAAACTTGTTTGCTGTCCAGTTTTGAAATTGCTCTACCTTTAGGACACCTGGTTTCAGTATTATCTAGAAACAAAAGTAAAGAAATATGAAATGCAAATAATACGTCCCCAAAAGTTAATATAAGCCGTTAGATGTATATATGTACAATAGTCCATACACATCTGTCGTACACAGTATACTTCAGAATATACTGAAATATATATCTGCATCTCAGAGCCATACTAGGTTAAGTCCATTTTTGCCTAAAATGAGTTTTATATGTTGAGTTCATGATAATATTGACAATTTTCATTTGCTACTTGCAGCGTCCACCTATTCCTATGATAATAAAGCAATAACGACTATAAATAATAGATACTAAGTCGCATACAATACTATACAAGAAAAATCTTTCAAACGCAATAGTTACTTTCAGAACTACTTATTTGGACTTAATCTAGTCTGTCTCTGAGGTACAGATATGCTATTAGGACGAGCAATTTAAAATCTGCGGAAAGTTACCAAGGCACAAAATGGCAGTGAAACACGCAGAGTTTACTTGAATTGATATTTGAAGTTAATTTTGTCACATTGTATCCAAAAGAAGTGCATGAAAGAAAAACCACAAATACAATTTTAAGAGATAAAAAAAGCCCGACTGCAGTATCTTTAGTTGTGCTATCAAAAGTCAAAATCCATCAAGCTGTCTGAGAACGTGAAATGAAAATTTTGAAAATTCGCCATTTTGATTGCATATAAGCTTAGTTTAGTACCACTCATATTATTAGTACAAATTTAGAGACACCTCAATCTGACTAAATTAATCAAACTGTTTAAGATTTAAGTCAGTCATTTTGATCTTTCAAATTTTAATATACTCAATACTAATCGCATCTCAAGATATATCAATATACACGTCATATGTCAAAATCCATCTTGCAGTGCATGCTGTAGACCGTGGCATAGGAATTTCAAAGTTGAAATTTTCGATCAAAGTCCATCATTTTGATTTTATAGAAATTTTAATATATCTAATGTCAGTCGCACTGCTTATCTAACAACACCTCATTTGACAAAATCAATCAAGCAATTTGAACTGTAGCCCAAGAAGTGTTTTAACCACATATCTACATATATACCCAGGAGCGAAAGACATAGCCCTCGTGTCTGACGCATTCAGCTAAAAATGAAAAATGCCCCCTTTACTTAAAGGTAAAAATGGCCTAATAAATGTTTAGTAAAGTCTTACAAGAACTTACGATATCTTTGCAATAAAAGATATTGTTGTAGAAGAGAAGAGTTGCTAACCAGTTATTTTCACAGGATTGCTTTCTTGCATTTTCTGTTACAATAGTTATGGGACTCACTATATTAAACATGAACAGATCAGATTTAATAACTGCCAGAGATATCGCTAAAGTCACAGCTAACCTAAAATGAAGTAGAAAAAAATTATAATGTTTTAACTTTACCTTCCTTTAAACCTGAATTTTCTTATAGATTTGAGATAAATAACGAATTGTACTGTTGGAACAATTTGATACTCCTTCTATGGGATTTTTCAGTACGTCAAACATGATTTGAAATGAGGGTATACCAAATATAACCAAATTCGTGGAAATTGAAAATTTCTATTTAGGACATTTTATTATATTTCCAATAAATTCAATTTTCTTCTTTTACGTCTACAAATGAGCTGATAACAGAAATAAAGTAATCAAGAGAAAATATCAATGAATATAGGCCATTTCTCTTGAGCTTTTATTTTGAAAAAATCTTTAGGCGCTTTATGCACCATAACCAATGGTTAGTAAGTTGTAAACTTATATTTATTCTAATACATAAAAATACTACACAAAGCGCCTGAAGAAATGGCTTGGAAAGATGTCAAAGATTTCTTTAAATGGCTAAAATCTAATAAAGATGCCAAGCTTGAAGGTTCGTCCCTAACACCGACTTATTTTTTGTATAAATTTATTGTAGCTCTAAATAAAAAAAACTTAAACCTTACATGAATATCACAAAATGGTCCAAATCAAAACTCAATTTTCACGAATATGATACGCCAAAAAGGGACTAACATGCTCACCTCCTTTGCATTTTTTTTTAAACGTTCTCTCTTTGACTTACCTGAAATATCTGTTCAATAAGATAATACACATGTGCTTGAATGAAAAACGTCCGAGTTTTTTTTGTATATCATAAATTTTGATGACCAACAACCAAGCAGATATCATGAAAAACGTTTGTACCAAAAACAAGTCTGTGTGGTTGAGTAATCTAACTATCAGCATTTGATTCATCTAAAAAATAATCCTTGAAACACCTCATGACAAAAATAGAATTGGAATTAATATGCAAGTTATGAAACGCCAAAACTGGAAATTTTGCCTCGATAGATAACACAAAAATGGTATGAACATCATAATATTGGTCTGATAGTAAGTTCCGCTATCAAGCTAACCACTTAGTTTTACACTTCCTTGCTGTCCAAAAGAAACTTCTGCATTTATAATTGACAAATGTCTAATTTTCGAATTACACTACCTGTATGTCACTTGATTTCAGTATTATCTACGAACAAAATTATGGAAATATAATATGCAAATAACATGTTTCCAAAAATTTTGATATGTCCAGTTACATTGAATATAAAGTATTCACGAATATAAATATCATACCTGCTCCATATATTCTGGATGTTTAGGATTGAACCAAACATACATCAATTTGACGTGCGATTCTATAACTAGGATCATATTTAAAAAGCGTATCCCTTGTATGCATTTCAGTCTTGTGTAATCTTGGCTCCTGCTGGTTTTTAATAAATGTTTCCAGTTATAGCGTAGAGAAAATTTAACTATAAAGTGTCTTTCTACAAAAGGATAAATGTCGCTAAAAAACGTGTTTGCTCCTAAGGCTGCATCAGGTGTGGCATGATCTTCAACTAGAAATTTGTATTACATTACCTGGCGTTCTACCTGCCACATCCAGAATTGTCCCTAACAGAACGATAGTCACGTAGATGACGAAAAATGCACTGAAACAAATATTACTTGACGGTGGTAGGCATTAACATATATTTCAGTCAGGATAGTTGACCCATTCGCCCATCACCCAGCACCTTACTTGTGCCAAAACATTTACAAAAAAGTAGTTCTCACCATAATATGTAATCATAAAGACTTGGTGTTACAAGTCCATTTGAGCAAGCCAATATTTCACTAGACGCATTTAAACCTATATTTTTTATTTCCTCGTCTATAAGCCCATCAGTGTATCCTTTCATAGACACGCCTGAGCCAAATTCTGTTAGAGGCATACATAAATACCTATGAAGAACTTTCCTTCCGAACATGTTCATGTCTCTCTCGATTTCCTGAAAATTTTACACCAAATAAGTTAGCTCTACATTGTACGGCAGTCCAAATGGATAAAATATTCTATTCACATTCTTAGAATGTAGAACAAATATAAGATCGCACCTTTAATACAATAGTGACGCTAAACAGTATCTGTGTAATAACGTCACAACATACAATTTATCTATCTCAACTCGTTCTCACTAGAGGGCGTTAATGTCACTTTGACCTATTTGAATTCCCTCCTGTTAGGTACTGCAAGATCGACATATTCACTAGTCATGTCGAAAGTTGCACAGCGCATGTCTTGTTTAGTGTAACAGTGACACGTTTTGTTTAAATACGTTCTTAAGACAGAGTTATCTGCAAATATAAAGATAAGTTCAATACATAACCGTCATTTTTTCTTTTGTGACACCCTTGACTGTTCATTTTTTATTTATTTTTTTTAAGCAAGTTACCGTTTCAAGGTAACTGTTTCTATATCATTTTTGGAGTAAATATTTTGAAAATCCAGACAAACAATAGATTCCTTAATAGTCATCTTTTTTATATAATGGCATTGTTGCAAATTTGGAAGAAAAAATATTATTTTTTCTGCTGTATTTTGTTTAATGCCACTTTTGCAGCAAGCTTTGGAAAACTTTCCGATGCGAATTGAAAAAGGTCATTCAAATGACATAAAAATATTTTACAAAACTTCGTACTTTCAAAAGTTCAAGAAAGTTGCACTGCAAAGAAATTTCAGTCGATACTGTGCCACACAACAGCTAACAACACTCTATAATAACAGAGTAGGAATTCCTGAAGCAAAGAAAAATGTTAGAAGGAGCCTGTTTTAAGGCAAAACAGATTCCGAAATTCTACAGGTCCTATTATGAAAATATACTCATTTGTATAGTTTTCTTTTTTTTGTATAACATGAAGTTTTGTTATGTACATTTTTAATGTTTGAATTTGTGTAAGGCTAATGTTCTTAGCTTAGCTTTCTTTGAGAATTTATGTTTTCTTTTCATGTTAATAAATAATTAATAAAGGTTCAAGTGGTTTTATTTGAATTCATCGTAGTACGTTGAAGAGTACCTCATTTAATTTGCCTAATATATATCCTAGAAATCTATTATGCATTAGATTTATTTACAATTCAAAGCGACATTACACATTTTTAATTTAAAAAAGAAAAACAACAGCGACACTAAACGGATTTGGTTGAGAAAAATGTGTTTTTATGTTAAAATATCGTTAAATATTTTTTGAGATAATTGCTAACCAAAAATTATACCTTTTCAGGTTAATTAATTTAAAAAGACACATTCATTCAACTTCACCAATAAGTAATAATTAACATATCAGAATCTCAATAAACTTTAAATGGCTCTTCTGTAAAATTAGGTTTTTCGCATAGTGTCAGTATTGTATTAGAGGTGAGAGACGTTATTAACTTTTCGTAAAGCAGGCCTCATGGAACCTACTGTGGAGCATTATAGTCTAAAAATATCTCTATGAATTGCAAATGTTTTATAGTTATATATGGACAAAGATGTAGAGTCCAGCATTGACACAACTTTCGGCCGAAACCGAAGCTGGTTGTTTGGTTAATCAGAAATGTGGATCATATTATGAGAATAAACTAGCAGAAAAATGTATATTTGTGCCCCTGGCTACATTTCTAATGAGCTGTAACATATGATTTAGCGTAATGTTGAATCGAAACGATAAAATTGGATAAATCACAATAGATGGTAATTTGATGAATATGGCAAAAAATTTTAAACCTCAGATAAAATCATTATACATTATGATCTCGGAGATGATAAGAGATACGAAGTCATTTGACCAGAGTTTCAAGTTAACATACACTATACTGTAACTATCTAAAACTGTAATGACTCATACGCGTGATCAGCGCCTGTCAGCCAGGCTAGAACAGGGAAGCATGCTAAACTCTGAGTGTTCGATTCACATATCCTAAATAATACACACTTTATTCTGGTAACAATATGTCCAACAATCATCTTGACAAATTTTGAGATATTAGAATACAAGTATGTTAATAAACAAAAATTGGGAAAATATGGGCCTACAGTTATGATTCATTTCTTTATTACAACTTAAATTTTTATATTATGCTCACAAGATCTCATTTATTTGATGTAATAATCTTGAGTAAAACGGCTTATGAATTTTTGGACTTGTTTTAAGGAGAAAGCTTCCATATAGAAGTCATTATCGTGCTACTTTAACTGCGTACGCTGCCTAAATGGCAAATCATACATAAAAGCTACTACTATGAAAATAAGGGTCTTCAAAAGAACTAAGAAACCCGCGGAAGCATATAGTGATCTCTTATAAACAAGCCACAATAACGCATTTCATGAGAAAATAGTCATTTTCAATCGTCTTCTGGTTGCCTCATTAGGTCCTTGCCTGTTTCGGAACGGATGTCAAATGGCTTAGTTTGCTCAAGCGGCTGAGCTTTCGGCTTTCATTCCACCCCGCTCGGGTGATTATCAATTTTTTCCCTTCAATTAAGTTTGTTTGATCGCCACGAGACACAAAATCCCGTGAAAATTCCCCAAGTTATACTTATTATCCCGAGAAAATTATAGTCGGCTTTATTTGCTAACTCAATGTGGATTTTGCACTACGATTCAGCTGTTGAACAATGAATGAATAGCTGATGCCGCGCGGCAACCTGATGCCTGTAACACTATTGACTATCATTTGGGCGAAGCCGTGGGATTATTCTAGTAAGTAAGAAGTTTTCATTTTTGAGAAGTATATCATTTGCATTAATATTTTATATTTAACATCTCTTTGCAATGCAAGATGATTTTGTTTGTAGTCTTAAGAATCATAACCTATTGTTTTCCCACTGATGAGCTCGTCTACTTGTAATAAATCATTTAAACCAGTCAAAATCAACAAACATGCGAAGAGTGCTTGGAACTTGTTTCTAGTTACCGCGTGATATTGTTTGTTGTTAGAAGAATTATTATTTGGTTATTTCTGTTGTTATTGTTCGGGTTATACTTATATTTCCTTAACCATGAAGGGTGAGACTAAGATTGGAAGTACTCGAAGCCAGGGAACAAGTAGAAAGCTTCGTAAGACACTGACGCGAAAGAAATCATGCTCAACGTGTTATTTGAACAAGACTTGTCGCAGGGAAATGCACCTGTGCGTTGCGAAAGTATGACAGGCATTCCAGAGCAGATTGTTCGTGCTGGTGCATGAACTGGAGAAAACTGGTGCTACTGCCGATCCAAAGTTCCATTTGAAAGGACTGAAGGCCATTAAACAAAATGGCGACAGCAAAATGGCATTAAGACAAACCGTACATTCATTTTCTATTAGGAAAGAGATACCAGCCCTTGAAGCTATACATGCAAAGATCAAGAGTAATAACATTATACCCCGAGTGAGCATCGAAGTATTAAGGAAGACCCCGAACTTAATTTTCGTTACGAAATACATAATCGGAAGTCAGAGAAACCTGAAATAGTCGCGTGGCGTCGAAAATACCTACGCGCAAGAACTGAATGTAGGCGACAGAGCAGAAAAATATATTATTTAGACGAGACGTGGGTAAATGCAGGTTATACAATTAAAAAAACCTGGATATACAAAGATGTACTAAGTAGCCGACAAGCAAGCATTGAAGGTTTCTCAACAGGTCTCCGTGCACCATCAGAGAAAGGTCAAATATTGATCGTTACACTTACCTATTGGCAGCGTTAGTGAGTTTTTGGAAGGATGCAACTTGACTTTCGTCTCTAAAAAAGGATGTGATTATCATGACAAAATGAATGACAGCTGCTTTGAGAGCTGGTTTCAAGAGGTACTCAGCGAGTTGAACCCAACTCTGTGATCGTCATGGATGATGCTTTCTACCACAATCGTCGAGCAGAACATGTACCAAATATGTGTGAAAGTGGAACTGTACGAAACAATTAAGCGATAGCGACAGCTTATTACTTTCAGATGGAAGTGGAAGCGACGACGAATGTAGAGAGGTAGACTCAGTTAGCTTCTGGATAATCAGAAGAAAAACTGACAAAGGTAATCTCCAAATTTCTGACCTATAACGTCTTTCAAACCATTTCCTTTTTTATCAAACATATAGAAGAAATCAATTTAACCCACATTAAAAATTCATACCCCGCCACTGACAACCTGACTACCGGTGATTTAGTGATGTTCACATGAACATCGATAAGTCATTACAGTTTTAGATAGTTATGGTATAGTATTTTTGAATGAAAAGCTAAATACATTGAGATAAGGGAATAAACTGAATCAATCTGCCAACATAACGGTGTATATATTAATAGAGTTGTAAATAAACGACCGATGAAAAATGTAGTAGTGTAAAGGGGGATTTCTAGGCGATTTTTAAATCGGAAGTTAAAGTCCGTTCTACTACGGCAAGATACAAACTTTTTATAGATATACTCGTAAGAAGGAGATTTTGTAGAATAGTTTATGGGTATGGGTGAAATGGATAAATGGTATGGGGAGGGGCGATCAGATGGACTGTACTACCGATATGACTTGATCAATTTAATTTTTCTGTTATATGTTCGTATCTAACTTTTTTTTCAGAGGGTGTAACTTGCGCTGAACATAATCCTTTTTTACCTGATGGCCTTGCGTGGGAATTGCGGATTCAACCTACTTTACGCCATTTTTGAGAATGCAAACAGTCAATTCAACGCACAAAAAATATTTGACAAAAACTAATAATTCAAATTCAAATTCAAATTCAAATTCAAATTCAAAATATTTATTTCGTCATGAATAAACATCATAAACAAAAGAAATTCTACATATAGAGTAATGACGAAAAAGGACAGTCTCTCGATTATAAAACCGATACATTGGACCCTTTAATACAAAGAGTCCATGCGAGAAAGCCCTGAATACCCTAAAAGTTCTTAAACAAAATAAAAAATACAATAAAGAGGCAAATGAAGAGGCGGTGAAACACAAAAAAGGCAAAAACGAAGAGAGAACC